TTTTTTTTTTTTTTAATAAAACAATTATTCCATTCGCGCTTGTTGGATATGAGATGATTATAGCCAACGAGGCGCGTAGCGCCGAGTTGGCTATCTATCATCTCATATACATAATGGTTGCAGGCGTTAATGTGTCGCTTTAAACGTTAGACGATAGGCTTAAATATTTCTAGTTTTTTTGTATAATTTGCTAACTGAAACTTTGCCAATCCCGTGAAGTTATTTCGTCGCACGGACTACGCAGGTATGTCGAGGCGCGTAGCGCCGAGTTGGCTATCTATCATCTCATATCCAACGTGCGCTTGTGGAATAATTGTTAATTAACATATGCGCGAGGGCACGCGCGATAAAGGTCATTTTTGGACCAGCGGTGTGGGTATTACCTGTGCAAGCGAAAGAAAATTGAAGCGTTCATAGACAGGTAATGTGAAACAAATGAAAAGAAAAAGGAAACTCGAGACGGTTGGAACACAAAACTTTTTCAAGTACGGGTATCCTGTTAATTTACCATTCCGTTTTGAACTTTACCCAAAAAAAAAATAACACGCTTTTAAAACTCCTTGAATTACTTGCCTTTGTTTTTGTTTGTAACTTGTGAGACAACTTAGTTCTGATAGCTAGACTTAAAGCACCGTCCACGAAGACATCACAACATCAGCACATGCGCAGACGTTTGACCACGGTGTTCGCAGATACTGATGGTGAGGCGGGGGAAGGTTTGAAAGAAGAGCGGTCAAACTGGGGCCTGAAACCAGGGTATGCCTCCTGTACCGTATCCTGTTTCACTCCGTTTTCGTTGTTGTTTTTTTCCCTAAAATTTGTTCCGTAAAATTGCTCTCCTTATGCGCAAGTTGAGTCCGTGACAGCAGGGAAAAAAGTACGGGATCTGGGGAGAGTTATACATTCCAATATGGCGAACGTAGAACAAGGTGAATGGGACTCACTTTTGTACTGCAAAATTATCTATTTAGAATTATGCTAGTTGTGTATTCAATGGATTATGAACTCTCCTTATTTTTCAGCGCCAGTATTCGCTGAACCAAAACGAGAAATTTTGAATCCTAGTGATGTCGTTAAGTGGGAAAAGTCTCAGGTGAGGAAAAGATCATTTTGTTCGCCAGGCCAGGCCTCTCTGCTTAACAGCTGTTCGTTCTCACGGATTTCGNGTTTATAAATTTTCATGTTGACTGAGATCCTGAGTACTTAGATGACTGATGCATTGATTGAGTGCCTGATTGATTGCATGATTGATTGCTTGTTAAAATGATTGATTGCATGATTGATTAATTGATATAATATTAACCAGCCGATTGGCTGATTGAATGATTGATGTTTGATCAATTAATAGATTAACTGATTTATTGATTGATTAGTTGATTGGCTGATTGGTTAATTGATAGATCAGTCAATCAATCGATTGATTGATTACTAGATTAATTGATTTATTGAATGAGTGAATGATTTTGAACAGAATGCTGATAGGATGATTCAAGGACTTCTTCCAGAGAAGTCTATAGGGGCCAGCATTGAGCTTACTGCTTATCTCAGAGGTTTGCTTCTGAAAATTTGGTTTGTCTGTCTTTGTTATTCTCTTTTTACCATCATTCTACACCAGCCTGTTAATTGAAGGAAGTTTTTTTCTCCAGATTTATCCATTCAAATTATGTATTCGTAAAGATTGTCTCAGTTGTGTAGAGGGCTTCAAGTTTACCAGTCTGTGACTGTTATGTGTTTTTTACACTCATTAACTCTTTGACCCCTCAGAGTGATCGGCATCTAATTTCTCGTTACAGTATAACCACTGGATCACATGTTAAGGTCATGAGAATAAAGTAAATGATCAATTAAAGAAGCTCTTGATTGTAAACAAATTCTCCATTTTAAGAAAATGTACCAAGTGTGGAAAACAGCATGGTGAAAAAAAATGCATACTGATGTTAAGGGTTTGATAAGGCTAATTAATATGTATAAATTTATACTCTCTTACTATTAATCATGTGCAAAATTTCCCTCTGTTATTATTACAAAGGAAATAGATTTCACCTATGGCTTTAAATTGTATATAATTCAGATGAAAGAGCTAAAACGAGAGGTGAATCTTGCTGATATTCTGCATTGCTTCATAGATGGTTTTGGAAATAAAACAAGAATAGACTATGGAACAGGTGTGTGTATGTACTATAATTAGTTGGTGTGGGTTTGTCTGATGTAATCAAGGAATTTGGAAGCTTAACGATTGATATTGGTATCTTCCTACAGGTCATGAGGCTTGTTTTATTGCATTTCTATGCTGTCTGTTCAAACTCAGAGTGCTGGACCAAAATGACTGTGTTTCAATAGTGTTCAAGGTGTTTCAAAGGTAATTTGATACTTTTTCAAGTGATGAATGGACATACTGTACATGACTTGTACAGAATTTGGCAGGTGGGCAGATTCTTTAAAAATGATAGTCTGGTTAAAAGTTGTGGTTTTTCATTGTTGTAAATACATGTACACTATTAGTATTACCTCTAAGATTTGTCTTGTTGTAGTCACTTCTTATTTTGATTGTGAGGATTTGGTTGTGTACTGTTAGTATATTGGCAATAAGGTTGACTGGTCACTCATACCTTGTGAAGCTTTATGCTTAACTGTGATGGGCTGATACTCAGTAGCTGTGCTACATGTATGTACACTTTGATGATGTGTCAGTATCCATGGGTCAGGGACTTCTATTTCATTGTGTAGACAAGAAGGCAAGAGATAGAAAAAATTCAATATATTTTTAAAGGCTACTCTGCAAAGGAAAA